CCATCCCCCCTCCACCTCTCCCCTCCCACCCCGACAGAGCCCCTCATCTCCCCTCGGTCCTCTGTGGGGGAGCCCTGCTCAGGCAGCGGACGCCTGGAAGACTTTCTGGAGAGCACCACGGGCGCCCCGCTGCTGGGCATGGAGCCCGACGGCGGCCTGACGCTGATCGACGACCTCCACAGCCAGATGCTGAGCACGCCCAGCATCCTGGACCACCCTCCCTCCCCCATGGACACGTCCGACCTGGGCTTCTCCCCTCACTCTGCCGGGCTGGACTTCGGCGACCCCACTCTGGACAGCATGGACTGGCTGGATATCTCCATGGTGGGGAGCGCAAGCGGAGGAAGCGAGGGCAATGGAGGAGGGAGAGTAGGGGGAGGCGGAGCCAGCGAAGGCGACGGGGGGACGAGTTTAGCCCCACTTGCGCCGCACACGCCGCCAAGCGTGTTCTCAGCAGATTTTCTGGACAGCACAGACCTGCAGCTGCACTGGGAGTCATGTCTGTAGCTCGTCATACAGACGCACACAGATGGACATGCGGTCGCTCACACTGTGTACAGGCTCCGTCTTTATTTCATGCACATACAGATACCTTCTCTATGCTGTCTCTACCACTGCGGGGGTCACTGGCACATGCAAACGCACATTTACACGGTTTGCCCTGTCTTTCACTGGCTGTTACTGTATGCAAAGTGAGGTCAAACAAACAAGAAACATACAAGTTAAATTCATAGACAGGACTTGAACTTGGTGAAACTGAAGTGGACTTTGTTGAATTTTTATTCTATGGGGATCCTTCAGCAGACTGGTTACAGACAAGCTGATAAAATCCCATTTCCTGTGCCCTGACCTGCATTATAACCTGTAAACCGGAAGCTGCAGGTCACTTCAACCCATTTCAACCCCCCAGTAAACAGTTAGACAGACAGAGACGAGGAGGGACTGTCGTTTACTCGGGCTCCTTGAGATAGCAGTGTGTGTCAGTGCCTCCTAAACTTTGCACTTATGCTGAATCTGATTGGTATAACGGGGGTGTTCAGGTCAACAGCCGAATCTTAGCTCTGTTCGGCGAAGCTGAGCAAAAGCCAGCATGTGTTCTGAGCCGTTGATGGCGTGTAAAGAAAGGCAGCTGACACGGCAACCTGAACTCCACCCACACTAGTCAAAGTTACAACCGTCGTTGGTTGACAGTTGCGATTGAAATGAACCATATCAGTGGCAACAGTTTGAATTGAAGCCTCATTAGAGGTTGCGTATTATTGGTAACATTATGGTAGACCACTATGTATTGCTGTATATGGGGTGTATATTATCAATTGTCCATATGACTATTTTTCTTTGCTGGTTGCTTTAGAGTCGAGCTCGCCGGCTGGGGAACATAGGGTGAGGGCGGGGCTTCCAAAATACTTGGGCCTTGTCATTTTTTAAAGAAAAAAAAGTTAAAAAAATAAACATATTATAAAAACTCAAAAGATGTCTGGGGGTTTTTTTGTTTTTTTCATTTTCACAACACATGAACATACAAAATCTCCCACATACATATGTCAGAGTCGCTTCATTTATGGTAAAATATTCTTCTGAATTCAAATTTTTCTAGAAAAACACCTCCTTTCTGTGATTGTTAATTAGTATTAATATTTGGCTTGATAGTTTTTGTAATCCTGGTAATAAAGTTAAACGCCACAAGAGGGCACCATTGTAAAGAAACTCGCTGCTTCCAATCCAATTGCAATGGTGCTGGATTCCAACAAGTGGATGTTTTCAAATTTTAGTTTTACGTATAGTTTAAGAGTTACAACTCTGGGTATGCAGTTTATACTTCAAACAGGACATGTACATTTACCTTTTTTCACCACTATTTCCTAGGATCTAAACCTTTATTGAAGGCAGACATCAAAAGTTTTTACTTGGTGCAGCATTCTTTGTCTAAACATATGCATGCAGTGTTTTTTTTAAGCTACTGTGAGTCATGTTTACTTGTCTGTTTTCTAAAACTTCACGTTCCATCTTGCGAATTTTTGTATCTCGGTAATTAGAAATTTCAGGTTTGATCCTCTCAGCTGTTGGTGCTCAAAACACACACCTGCTGTCATACTGTAAATATCTCAGAGAAGGAGCTTCACACAAATACCTGAAATGTTTAATTGCGGTCTTCTCAGATGTTTTATTTGGAAGGCACGGCATCCCGTCTTCCCAGCTGTACCTGATGCAGACACTGGCACACTTCTCTTCATCATTTCCGTCTTCAAACTTACTTCAACTTAACTTTAGGGTGAAACACAGACTTGAATGATTGGAACTGACAAAATATACGAGCACAATCAAACCCATAAAATAATTAATATGAAGCTATAAAAAGCGTACATCGAGCCGTTATCATCATCATGAGTTCCATTAAAAGTTCCATTTAAAAACACAAGACACGCCATGTTAATTAGTGAACTTTACTGATGCTGTGTTTTTATGCTGAGCGTGACTCAGGCTGTTTCCTCCTGCTGCCAGTGTTTACACTAAGCTGAGCTGATCACCTCCTGGCTCTGTAACTTTCATACTAACGCTCAAACATGAGACTGACGTGGATCTTCTTATCTGACTCCTGGCAAGAAAGCAATTAAGCATATTTACCAAGATGCAGATCCTTTAAAGCGAGTAGCCGCGAAGAAAATAACTGAGTCAGAGCTGCGCTTAAAGGTTAAAATCCATCAATGGAAATAAATCCAGAGCTCACTTGACACCCACCACACGATTTCATACAAAGAAGGTGGGGTGTTTTTTTTTTTTTCAGCAAAGTTAGATTTTATTTCAATTTTCCAACATTTGCATTTTGGTGATGAAAGGTTCTCGGAGCACATGTGATTAAAAATCATGCATGAGTGCTGACGGCGGGGTAGCAGGCTCCTGTCAGTGGGATACAGAGGAGATCTTTAGACCTCGTCGTGCTGCAGCCCTTTGGAGCTCACTGTAGTTAATTAGTGGCATGGCCTCGGGACTTTTATCTGCTCTGTGTATAGGAGAGAGAGGGAGGGATGGGAGTGATGCTGCACTGGGGAGCTGCTGTGACCTGTGTGTGTGTGTGTGTGTGTGAAGTGAATTTTTAAGAGCCCACTGAGCTGGTTGCATGTTTGCGTGCTGTGCATCGAATATCTGCATGTGTTGCAGTCTGTCAGTGTGCGTCTGAGAGCTACCGAGGGCTCATCAGGGGCTTTGAGAGCCGCTGAGTGAGGCTTGAAAGGCTCAGAGGAGGAAGCGAGCGAGTCAAACTGGGCATTAGAGCTCGATTCAGTCCGGTGTCATGAAGAAAAGGAGGAGGAGGAGATGATGATGAAGAGGTCACTTTACCCCCACAACAAGAGCTCTCTAATTACCAGTCATTTAAATGACTTCTTCCCTTAATTCTGCTCTTTTGAGAGTTCTGCGGGTGTAAAATTAGCCTCGTTTCAGTGAGGATTTTCTCCCTGTAGTACCGCGCAGGAGGAATACGCTGGTTTAAAGTCACCCTCGTTGTTTGAGTCCAACCGTGCTGTTTAACATTGGTAATTTGACTGTTTTAAATCTCATGGCACTTGATAGAAATCCCAAAACATGAGAACCTGGACTTTTTTTATTTTGTTCAGGAGTCTGGAAAAGTTCCACAAAATACCTAACAAAATGCCACTAATGTCTAGAATTTAAGTGCACATCACCAGTAGCCAAATGTTAACAGAGAGAATTTAATGAGTGTGTTAGACTGATTGCATTTGTGATATCTGATATTTGAGGCATTTTGTCCACATTCACACAGTTCAAAAGCTTTTATACCTTTATGCAATATTTCAACCAGAATCACTTGGGTGTTGTTCGGTCACAAACATTAAAACCACCTACCTAATATTTTCTAAGTCCCACTTTTGTGTGATAAAAACAGCTCTGACCCATTGGGGTTTGGTTTCTGGACCCCTGGGGCTGTCCTTTAGTGTCAAGATATTAACCCTTTGGGTCCTCTGTGATCAAACTTGCTCTGATCCATCAGTTGGATTGGGATCTAGGATTTGGGAATCCAAGTGAACACATGTGGCTCTTGGTCTTGTTCCTCAAACTGTTCCTGAGCAGTTGTTGCAGTGTGGGGCACGTTGTCATGCTGGAGAGGGCAGCTACTGTGATGGATTGCTGTTGCCATGGGGGCCATGCCATGGTTTTAATGTTATGACTGCTCACGGTGATGCTGGGGAGGGAACTGGATACTTGTGTTTTTATATGTGCAGTCAAATGTATTCATACCCTCCCATTAAAGAAGGGAAAAAACAGCTGTCACTGAAACAGCATCTTCTCAAATCCATCTGTACACGTTCAAGCCCAAATCTGGTTCAGAATAGGAAAGTGAACAGTGCAAACATCCACAGCGATAATATTACAGCAGGACATCTCTACTGGGTAAACAATATGCTCATTACTTGCTTATTGGGTGACGTAACAGCGAACTTAGTTTATCAATTGCAAGCTGAATACAAGGCAATGGTGTTCATTTACCTAACTGATTATTCATTTTTATGTTTTTGTGTAGTTAATAATAATTAAATGAGCCCAATGTAAATATACAGTGGATTTGAACTGTGATATATTTTGGCAGTTTATGATATAACTGAATGTTTTCAGCATATTTGACCAATAAACCTCACCATCAACAACAGACTTAACCTTCAAAATTAGACAAATGTCTTTAAAATCTCTCTAGTTGAACTAAAATGAAAAATGTTTCCATCAAAAGTCAGATTGTTGAGTCAACATAAAAACCAACACGATAAAACCCACATGTTTACCCATCATCCCCTGAGGCCACACAGTTCCTAGAGAGCAGAGGCGGCGCTTGACTATAAAACCTTTGGCTGCTTTGATCTGATAAGATTATCGCTGTAGATGTTTTCATGACGTCAACGCAGGTCGAGATCTATTCACACAGAAACCGAAAGCATTGTGAGCCCACCGTCAGTAATTGGGTCTGCACAGGTCTGACTCATCTAGAAGGAGCCGTTTGTCAGAACCGACCCAGCTGATAAATGCCCATGGCCAATTAAACTAATGTATCAAAGGATTCTCGTAGTCAACAACCCCAACTATGACATCACTGTGACATGTCCAGGGGCGTTTTGTTAGACTTTACCCACATCATCATACACGGGTTCTATGGTGTCTTTTGTAATCTGGTTACTGGATTATTTTTTTCAAAGAGAGCAGTCAATTGAACTGAAATGAAGCGTTACAGTTATGTTCTACACCAACCTTGCAGAGAGGTGGTTGGGGTGGAGGGTTGACGTACAAAGCACAGGGCTGTAGCAGCAGAGCCTCTGAGGCGCATCCAGGCTGTGGGCGGGTTTTACGCAACAAATGCAGTCAGGTTAAGGTCAAGAGAAGATTGTGGTTAGGAATAGTTGTAAATAAACCCTTTGTGTCGCATGTCACAGTAGACTTTGTGTAAACCACAGTCTTTCGGTAACCTTAACTTCAAGTGCCTAAACAGTATCATACTAAGTTTTGTGACTACAAGTAAAGATTTTACTGCAAGATCAGGTACTTAGGCGCAAAAAATACATTGCAAGTGAATATACAGAATACAGAAAGCTTTTCTTGTCAAGTGAGCTCACACAAGGAATTTGAATGAATGAATGAATGAATGAATGAATGAAATCAAACAAAAATAAAATTAAAAACAAAATTAAAAAAACAAGAGAATAAAATGTACAAACATGAGTTCGAAAAGGAGCAGGAAGAAGTATAAACTTATTAACTCCCAGCCCCTTATCACTCTATGATTCATTAAAATATGAAATGTTCCTATATATAATCTATACATAATAAATGGATTTAATATAAAATATGCATCAATATATAATCAATTAACTGCACCGATATACAGTGTATAATTGTCCCATATACATAATCAATTTCTTTACAATGAATGTCATTTACTAATATATTGTTATAGAAATGTATATTACCAACATAAATATATTACAAGAGTACATTACATAAATATATGTATAGGCCTACATACACACACATACATATTAATAAACAATGGATTTAATATACAATATTATGTTTTGTATATTACAATATTTAGTCGCCCTCATTAGGATATATGTGACAATTTGACATGATGAATGGAACTGTGCTCCTCAGCAACAATGAGACGGCAAATAAATATAGAAATCTAAATCTAAAAAATTCTAAATAAAACATTATATGTAAAAGAAAAGTATAAAAGTACTATGTAAATAAAAACTACAGTGTAAAAGAGATAAATTTGCCGAAACCAGAGTAATAAATTTAAAAAAACAGAACATAAAACGGATAAGCTGAGAATCAATATCACTTGCCAAATACATTGATTAGCAACATTTCCCTATAATGTCAACGGAAAATATAGCATAGTCCAGGTTAGTTGTACAAAAATGTAATTTTTAGGAGACTCCATTGGCTCCTCATGTGTGAAATC